GGAGGGGGGACACGTCCAGTATGGATGGGGTTGATGGGATCGCTCGGATTGCCCTCGTCTCCGCGCATTGGGCACGTAGCAGAGGTAGGTCGGCACGAACGTGCGTGATGGTGCGTACTAGGTACTACTAGGTAAGTACTTACCTTATTGCGTTCAGTCCCAGTAGGTATACGCTGGAATACAGTATCGTGGGCGGTATTAATGGGGGGGTTAATAACAGGTACGAGCAGGTTTGTGTGCTGTGCCGCCGCCGCCGCCGCGCTGTGCCAGACGTGCTGTGCCGTGCAGCCACGGCCCGCCCTGCAAAGCACGCAGAGCGGCGCCGACGCTGCGACATGCAGCCGACGGAGCTGGAGAGCTTGGGCGCCACGGCTGGGCGAACGGCTCGCCCTGCTTTACGTGTGTTCTGCGAAGCTACAGTAGCTTGTTACCTACTCGTGTGCCTGCATCCATGATACAGCCCAGTTCAAGAGAAGCGTAGTGGAGGAGGTGGTGGTGCAGGCAGGCATTCTGGCAGACAGATCCATATTAGGTACCTCCCCTCCAGTACTCGTAGGTTGGCAAATATGTTGAGCGCGAGTACGAGTTTCTCGTACATGCGGCGAGGGTCAGTCAGCAATATACCGCGTCGGATGGTAGCCTTTTACTCGCTCGTGCATCGCCAAGTACGAGCATGTTTCCTGCAACGTCTCGTGGGTGCAGACGGAGGTGCCGGTGAGCCGCCGCCGCCGCCGTACCTAGCAGCAGCAGCAGCAGCAGCAGCAGCAGTGACAAACTCGAACGAGGGCTTGGCAGGGGACGCCGTGGGCGTGAGCGAGCGATGGCCTTTTGTCGAGTTTGCCTTTTGACGATGCCGATGCCAATGCCAATACCAATGCCCAATCTCAATACCAGCGCCCTCGTGGAGCCCCCGCCCGGCGCAGCAGATGCTCGTACGAAGTCAAGAGTATTAAATGCCTTGTGCCTCGTCACACACGCACGCACGCACCGCACGGCACCGCACACGATGCCCGTCGACGACGACATGGAATGACGAGGCACGCGCCGAATCAACGCCCGCCAGCGCTTCGGCCGACGTGTGGAAAGCTCCAAGCCCGCGCGCCTGATTGGCGCCTTGGTTGCGCTGGGCTCTGGCCCCGCCGCCCGGGCGGGTGCTGCGGGTGCTGTGGATGCGGTGCCAGGGTGCAGGTGGTGAAGTGCCTTTCCAGGTCCCCACGCTTGCATGCTCCTCCCCCCCCTTTTCTGTCCTGTCAATCCAGGGGACTGGGGCCGCCCATCGGTGCAGGGGCCGCCCAGCCACCAGGAGCAGCCACCCGCAGGGGACAGCCAGGCGGGGAGGTACCCGGCGACGTTGCGGTACCGACACGGCAGGGCGGACGCGCGCCGCGGGGCTGGGTATCGCGACGTGCGGCGGGACTTGGGGCCCTTGGGCGCCCGAACCCTTGCTGCGGCCCCTGGGTCGCGCCCACGATGGAACGCCGCGAACGCGCCCTGATTGGCCGCTCGCGACGCACCCCGGCGCCGCGGAAGGAACACAACAGCGCGGCTGCTGCTTGTGCTTTGGGCTGATCCAGTCCCAGCCAGACGAAGCCAGGTACCCGTCGAGGGAACCTTGAAGCGCTCTCCCTTGCCCGGCCAGTGGGCTGAGGTGCGCCTGCTGCTGGCGCTGCTTCTGCTGTCACCAGGCACAGCTGCAAGCCCGCAGCGCGCCGCAGTGGACCGACCGCCCTGGGCGTCCGGTGAGGTGAGCCTGCCCGTCTGTGCTGGATGGAATCGCAGGTGTCCCTGGCCGCCTCCCTCCCTGCTCGACCGCCCGTAGCTTCGTGTCCGTGGTCACTCGTCGCTGGTGTCTCGAGCTTGAGCCGGGGTCCGGTTCCAGTCGCCAGGGGACGCCTGCTCTGCTCTGCCTCCTCCTCTTACGACGTCCACCCCAGCCCAGGTACCCGCTCCTCTCATGCTCCCACTCCCGTCTCTCACTCCTCCCCCCTTCATCCCATCCCATTGCTGGGCCGCCTTCTGCTCTTCCCCATCTCTCCTTTCCAGGTTGCGGCACCCGGTCCGTTTCTCTGCTGTTCGCCGGCTTCCTTTCTCCGTCCTTCCTCTCCTTCGCCTCGTCGACGACATCACGGGCAGCCTTGCTCGCGGGACCTCTTCCCCCCCTTCGACCTCCAGCACACAATCCCCCCCGACCGTCTGGTACGAGAGAGATAGTAAGGCGAGAGACGACCGTGTCTGTTCTTCCACTGTTGATATTCGCCTCGAGTCGCACGCGTTTGCACGTTTACACGACGATTCCGAATCATCCTGCCGCTTCTATCGCGCATCTCTGTGCGCGTCGCCTTGCCAAGGACGCTCGGCCGTCCTGCCCTCACGCTCCTGACAGGTCTCGTTGGCCTGTGTGACGCCGAATCACGACCCTCCTTGGTTGCCTTTGGACCTCACAGGCTCTGTCACGACGCCTTACCCGACGTCGTTCGCGTTTGCCCCGGGTTGGCATTTGGCAGTTAGGCGACGTACCGTTACGTCGCGTCCCAGTCTTCACGTCCCCAGAGGACGCTGGCTCATTCAGCCTCGATCCGGTGTCGAGCCATTCCGCTTAAGCGACTCCTACTCATTCGCCGGAGGTCCTTCGATCCCGCATCCACCGCGTTGCCTCCCGCCGCTGTTGACAGCTATTTCTTTTCGATTGATTGCACGCCTGCTCGCCGCCATCGACTGACCCGACCGACGAGCGTCATTGGTATTTACGGGGCAGATTTCCCTCCTTCAAGCTTCTCGACCTTCGACGACGGCTATGTTATGAGCGTTTTCACGACAGCGGTTGACGGTATTTGGTCCTAACGGCATCTTGCATCGTCCCCCAGCTGCTCGACTGCTCTTGGGCGATTGGCAAACATGCCTGCCCCGAAGCCTCCCGCTTCCCTCGACAACTCGTGCACTGTCATTCATGACAACACACTCTACTCCTTCACCCCCGATGCCTTCTTGTCCATTCCGCTAGAGGATAGTGCAAAATGGAAGAAGCTGCAGCCAGGCGTCCAGGTGACGGGCGCGTCGTGTGTGGGTACCCCGGCCGGCCTCTACGTTGTCGGCGGTAAGTCCGACGTGGGGGATTACCCGGGCCTGCAAAAGTACACGTACTCGACGGGCAACTGGACCACTATCCCGATCTCAGAAGCCCAGATCAAGAACCGGCGGTGGCATTCGTCCACGTACATACCGGCCGATGATGTTATCCTCTTATACGGTGGGAGCGTGGGCGACGCCCGCAGCGGATCTACGACGACGTTTACTATTGGGGCGTCTGAACCTTGGACTGTCCGCAGCTACGGATCCGTTCTTGCTCCCCCGGCCGTTTCTCCCATCCTCATGAGTTGGTCAGGGGCCGACGCCGCCATGATTGGCGGCGGAACCGATCCGCAAAACGCCAAAGTCTGGCTCTTCAACCCAAACGCGCAATGGAGAGACTCCGGAGCGAGCTTGGCAGCTCCGCTGGACAAGGACACGTCCTCGGTGCAGGCCGTTTTGCTCGATGGAGACGATGGTTCGAAGAGTCTCTACACCTTTGACCTCACGCAGGCGCCCAACAGAGTCAACCGCTACACGCTCCAGGACGCAAAGGGCGTCCCCGTCCACGCTTCGACGCGCATCACGGCCCGCGATGTCGACGGTGCCAAGTCGGAGACCAAGAGGGGCTTGTCTCTCAGCGACTGGCCCAAGTACAACGGAACTCTCGCGCCCACCACCACCAGGCAGAACTTCGCCGTCGCGCAGGGCCCTGACGGCATGGTGGTCTTTTCCGGTGGCAACAGCGAGAGTCCGCTGGCCATATTCAACGCCAAGGAGAACGGATGGGTGAATGTAACCGCTCTGCTAGGGGACAAGACGCAAACGGCACTTACAGCTTCCACTACAACCACGTCCACTTTGTCGACCTCGACCGCCTTTTCCTCAACGTCCACTCTAGCCTCAACCTCCGCGACTTCGACGTCGGCTGCCACGAGCTCGGCAGCGGCGCTGCCGCCTGCAGCCCCGAGCACCGATTCCGGACCAAGCTCCGACGCCATCCTGGGCATCACGCTGGGCACGATTGCCGGTTTCCTGGCGCTGCTTGGCCTCATCCTGTTGTTGCTTCGGCGCCATAAGAAGCGCCACAACCATGCCGAGACTGGCCAGAACGGCGACTCCAAGCCAGCGTCGCCCGTCGAAAAAGACATGCTCACACCCATGAAGGGCACGTTGCCTGTCAAACCCCAAGGGCATTTCCGTGGTCATTACCCCCAGGACTCTCAAGAGTCGTACTCCTCCATGGCGATTTTGATGGGCCGCATGCACAAGGACAAGGATAAGTCTGGCTTGTCTAGGAAGGCGAGCAACGACACCTTCCGAAGCTCTACCAGCTCGCTGCACAAACAGTTCAAGAGCAAGATCAGCAAGCCGATTCCGCAGGTGAGCGCATATCCCGCCCTCGCCGCCCAGGACGACAAAGGGATCGCCTTTGATCCCTCAGCGGCCGCGCCGCGACCGCGGAACAACAATCGCCCAGTGGATCCGCAAGATGGCACCCGCCGCAGCTCTGGCTGGAATAAGTACTGGTCCGGAGGCAGTGCACTGCAGATCCTGGGCTTCGGGGGGCAGCAGAAGAGGAACACGCTCGTTTCCGAGCCGAGCTCGCACTACTCAGAAGGCACCGGCACCGGCACCGGTACCGGCACAAACAATCATGCGTCCAGAGCCACGCAGGATTCTGCCACTGTACCGCCCTTGAACTTTGACCGAGGGTTGGAGGGCAGGCCGTCGGTCAACAGCGTCAATTCCGGGAGCCCCGTGGTGGCCCAGTACAACAGCAAGTTGCCCGCGGAAGGCATGGCGGGCAAGATTGAGCGGCCTGTGTCTCCGGTGTCGTCGGGCTACTCGAGCGGCATACCCGAGAGCATCAACGATGCCTGGGACCCTATGGAGGGCAGGGCATGGGGAGCCGACCGAGCGCCGAGCAGCGCCTACACGGCGAGCTACCACTACGGAGCGTCGCTGACGCCAAGCGCCGCCGTGGCCCAGCCACCTTCGGGAGTGAGCAAGCAGCCGCAGCTTGCCATGGCCGCCACCTCATCCGACATGAGCTGGCTCAACCTAGGTGACCAGTCTCGGGCGCGAGGTACGTGAGGCCGGCGGCGCATCCGTCGATGATGTATATTTCTCGGTGGTCCGCGAGGACCGGCACATTGGTGTGAATCCATCTTTACACTGGCCAAGCGCTACTCTTTACTTTGTGCAAGCCTGGCCGTTGCGTCATGTGCATCCGCGCGGCCGGTGCACGCCTACGATCTGGGGTCAGCAAACAGCGCATCAGTCTCTCACTTCAGCCTCGCTCTCTGTCGATTTCTCTCTCTATCACTCTTTCCCTCTCTATCTCTCTCTCAGTGTGTGTCGATCTCTTGGACTCTCACTCTCATTCCTCGCCTCGACCCGGATCGGATGCGTTTTGGACGACATTTCCGCATCGCAAGGCATAACTCGGCGTCGACATGTCTCTGTTGTTTGGACATTTTTCGGGCGATACTCTGTGCGGGCCCGTGCGTTTGTGTGATTTTTCCTGTACATTCTAGACTCTAGCCCGGGCTTTGGAGTCATCATTTTCGTCGACTGGGCTGCTGCTGCTATGATACCATCAACATCTCCTGCTGCGGGTAATGGGTTGAATCTGGAGGGCGGGGGCGGGTTAAAAGACGATTTAGGAGCAGGGCTGGATGGTGCGGTTACTCCCGTGCGATGAGCAACCAATCTGTAACTACGTTGCTCGTCAGTAGGACAACTATAAACTAGCTGGCTACGAGATGTGTGCACTGGTGAGCAGACGTTTCTATTCGCCCCTGAGGCGGTGCAGGTTCGTGATGATGCACGGTTTGTGGCGAGGCGTCGATGTCGGCTCATATGCAGCAAAGGGTGTGAGGCGCCAACCTGCTGTGCACGGCGCACAGTTGCGTATGGACAGGCTGTATTCTTGGATTGCCTCATGTTTACGCATTCGAGAGAGGATGTGGCCGCGCGGTCTCACGACCAGCCGGCCGTAGTACATACTACATGGTAGCGGCTACGTGTATACAAGGTGTGGCTCACGTCTCTCTTCGGCTCGCCTCGCCGACGATGGAGAAAGGGCCGGGCCATGCCGTCGCTCGCTCCCCGTTGCGAGCGGGACTGGTAGCGCGGTCAAGTACGGAAGAGCCAGTGCCGCATCAGGGAAGTAGTCGCGTTGGCCGCGGCGGGCGGGCGAGGTGGTGGTTTCTTGCGAGACGTCGTCACGCGGCGCGGTGGCGGGCGGGTTGGTTCTCGGTGAGCGGTTTGGGTAAGGAAGAGGGCGGGGGATGGTGGGTGGCCATGCGCAGGCGGGCGGGCTCGGTCGCCACAAAGGGGCTTTGGGTGGGTTGCCGCAGTTCGAGTACAGCCCTTGCGTGTTTGTGTGGGGGCAGCATGGCAGCAGTAAGTGAGTGCCGACTGCATGAACATACGCACGTTAATTACATGCGTGGCGCGGCGAGAGCTGGAGTGCAGACTACCTAGTTGGCCGGAAGACAAGCTTATGGCGGGACGGGCGTGGCTCGGCACGGCAGTGGCCTGGGAGGCGGATGTGCGGGAGTAGAGAGATGGGAGCGCGTGAGCCAAGCCAAGTCTTGGCCCGGCGGGCTGGCTCAAGGAGGAAGGATCTCGTCGTGACGCAGATGGGGATCATAGTGCCGCGGCGAGGTGTAGCAGACACGCAAACAAGATACCTTCGTACGACTAGGCTTATACGTTGGTAGTTGCAGAACAGGACTGCCCCGATTAGGCGACCGGAAGAGGCCGGGACGCAGGCGGGCTTGCGATGCGATGCAGGACACGCGCCTGCACGCACGAGCATGGGGGGGTTCCACTCAACGGACAAGACGCATGATGCCTGCACTGGGACAGTCCCAGTTCATAGCTAGGTACCGATCCGACTGGCTGCTGCTACTGTTGCAGGCAGGCAGGCAGGCAGGCAGCTTGGTGAGCTCTCTGAGCTGCAGCAGAGGACCAACCAGGGTCCGGGTGTAGGTTGCTGCATGATGAGAGAGCGTCTGGTGGGTAGGGTCCCTGGGGGTTCTTGGGGGTGTGGGTTTTGTGAGTCCGTCCGGAGGGGAGCAGTTGCTGTCTGTCAAATCATCGGATGGATAAAAAACCTCGTCGGAATACGGGGGGGGGGAAGGCTGCTGCTGCTTGTGACGCACTACCCTCTCTCTCCCGTCATCTTTTAAACTTGAGCGAGCATTGGCGGGCGGGCGACTGACTCGGGCAGATGGCCAAACTGCCCGGGTGAGTGACGGCGGTGGAGGTGGGG